AGGATCCATTGTTGTCTTTTTTGAGCATGAGAATTTTCACAAATAGCCAACAATGCTGCATTCCTTTTTAATATAAAATTAATTGGCACCATCTGGGACTTTCTTTACCATCTAAGTTTCCAAAGCTTCACCAGCTTCACAGACAGTACAGTGCAAGATGCTTGTTTGGAAATGAAGTATAAATACTGCTCTGCAGGCTCATACAAAAATGCTTAAGCCCAGCCTTAAACTGAATTGCACTCACAGAAAGCTGCACCTTACTAAGCCTGGACTAGACAAAATTATGGGCCTTTGAATTCCAGCAACATGAACTCTTTAACTGTCATAAACAAATACCCTGACTTGTTTTTAACTGCATTTTCTGGTTCCTCTCTCACAGGTTCCCATATTATACTTACATGGGGTCACAGCATCTCTCTGATAATAGTCCTCAGACTCAGAAGGGAGTCTCCAAAACTTAGATCTAAATGTAGATCTTCTTATCCTGCCTATAATTGCATTGAGACTTGACATACTTTTCTTTTCGCCTATAACCCTACACATGCCATAGATGGTAGATTTGTACTACTATCAGAATACTCAAAACAGAGGCAGATCAATATCACCACTGTACATTTCAGTTCCTTCCAGCTGAAAGGAGTCAGTCATATCCTTGAACTATGAAGACATATGAGTCACCTAAACATACAAGTTTCTCATCTCATGACCATGCCAATGATTAAAATAACTGAAATGGGAGAGGAGGAGTGTTTGAGGTTGAAAAAAACAATTTATTCTTCCTCTTTGCAAAGCACAAACATAATTTTCTACCAATAAAAATACTGCAAACTGTGTCCTTGTTTACATTTCTTATAGCGAGATAACACAATGCTGACCACGCTGCCCTGAAAAAAAATTTCATGCAAATTAAGTCAGCATGGAGATTTTCTACATATGGCTTTTGTTTACCATGAGACCTGGGCCACTCATTCACCTTTGTGAAGCACCACTTGCATGACAATTAATTTTTGGTCAGAATTAACAAACACTATTACTGAACTTCTTAAAAGCAATTAGTTAGGTAAGACCTGGGACCTGAAGCCATTGAGCAGCAGAGACCATCCACCTGTATTTGTGTCCTAGACAAGAAGGTGTGGCTTAGCTACAGGTTCTTGTTAAAAGCTGAGTTAACTTTTGGGATGAAAGGTGAACATAAGTTAGAGAAAGATACTGGTTCAGGAAAGGCACTGCCTCCTTCATCTACCTTCTACAAGACCTGCATAAAAAGGTAGCAAGGCAGTGACAAAAGTTAGTGTTGTGACTTGTAGGCACAATTGACAACACCTCTACAACATCTCTGCTCTGCACAAGGGCTGAGGTAAAGTCTAGTACTGGCAGTAGCGATTTGGCTACAATGATGTTCAAATCTGGAAGAAATGACAGGACTAGGATGGCAGTTCAGCCCAGCAAATGCCAGCACAGAATAAAACCTTCTATCAAAGCCTTATGAGGTTTCCTTTAAATCTAGAATTAGAAAGGGGTGTTGACCTAGAATGAAGTATAATATTGTAACTGGGTTTAGGGTTGGGGCTCAAGCCAGCAGATATTGATTAATCGCAGCTTAGAAAGTGCCTCTGGGTTAACTTGAAAAATGTTGTTGGTTTAAACCATCTGACTGCAGAGATCTGTGGGATAAGGAGTGTGATAATGTTAAGATTAGGAGTGGAATTAGGGTTTGAGAATACTCTGTAAGAGGTTGATAAACTGCATCATCTTGTTTCAGTATCAGGGAGGGCCCCATGGTGTGATAAAGGTGCCACATGATAGGACTTCCCACACCCTTAGCAAGCCCAACACTGCCTGGTATGCCAGCCCTTCCCTGTCTATATTCTCTGTTGACCAAGGCTTCCCAAGGTGTACAGGTGCTGTCAGCCTGGTGTGTTCCCAGTCCCTCGGGATTACTGTGTCTTGTGTACAGGCAGCGCGAACCTGGCACTCCTGACATGGATATATTTCCTGCACCACACAGCACGGTGCGTACACACAGTGGATGGGGTGGAGGAGAGGGACTCAAACAAGGAAAGCATCTGTCTGAAAATGTCCAGGTTTTACTGTCTCTGTTTTCCCCTTCATTTGCAGCAGAGCTGACATATTGGAAATATATCAAACACTAAAAGCTTCTGGCAACCAATGTCTCTTCACAGATGAATTTTTAAAAACAGTAGGTCAAATCTGGGCAGCAGGTTGGTCCTGCCAAGGAAATCAAAAGCTAAATCAGCCAAATATACCAAGAAGCAGCACAAAAGCTTGTCTGTGTCTTCCCCACTGGCTTTGCCAATGATGATTTTGGCAGTACTTTTTAGCACTTACCCTGTTCCCAGTTCTTGGGAATCAGTGTTTGCCACATTACTCAGCATTTTCCAAGCTAGAGGGAGGGTGCTGGATTGACCTTGGTTACTTTACATTACAGAAAAACTTTACACCTCTGTGTTTTAATCACAAAATATTCTCACCCAAGTTGGTGATTAATGGTGAAAAGTTCCGTTTTAGTGGCAGGCAGACAATGGACCAGACAACGACAGTTTTTGGAGGAGAAACCATATAAATGCTTTTCAAGGACAAAATAATTTTTAAGACTGGAGACTACATAGTTAAAAACTTTAAAAATCAGTATTAGTAGCACACAGTCCATCTCTACCATTTTCCAATCTTGTGATGTAGAGAATGCAGGGGAGGCAAGAACAACAGTTCTCAATTCAATAAGCAAACCTGCTTCAGCATTCACTACAAACTGTGGAGGAAAAAGCTTCACAGTGAGTCTTGCCAAGAGGGACTTAAAATAATTGAGCCTCATGGTCACAAGATCACACACTACTGTTGTGAAACAGTCACTGGGTAAATAAGGGTGTAGCCTCTAACATTTAACCACGGCTGGGGGGGGCGGGGGGGGGAGGAGAATAAGAGAAAGCCACATGCTTTAAAGATGGTCTTTATCCCTGAAAAGGTATTAAGTCAAGGAAAAAAGACCTTGCAAATGTGCACTCATGTCAAAAATACAGCAGAACAATGTTGCCATTCTAGTCCTCTCAATGCAGTAACAACACTGGTTAGGGAATAAAGGTAGGGAATAAAGCCTGCAGCACATAATTTAGGCAAAAACAACAACAGAAATAAAAGAGATTTCCAAGGGACGGAGGAGCAAAAGTTAGGATGATGTACAAATGACTGCTGACCTTCCATTTACTAAGATAAAGTCACAGAAGCAGTACGTGTCTGGAATGATATAAAATTATTAATAAAATATGATGAAGAAATAAAATATAAGATGCTGATTTTAAAACATACAAACAGGCAGGTACCTCAGACTAGCAGAGATATTAACAAAGGCAAATGAAAAGAATGCCATTCCATGGCCTTAACTGCTGGAACCCGTTGAATTTTCTTATTGCTTTTGTATTTCAGGGATGTTTACATCAGTGTACCCAAAGGAGTTCAGCAAAGTTTTCCAGATTTATCTTTTACTGTTTGCAGAAATCAAGAAAGAATTTGCAAAAGAATCACTTCCACAAAGCCACTGTCTTCAGCTCTGTGTATACAAAGGTCTCATCTGCCTCTGCACTAAGTGAAACTTGTACTTAACAATCTAACTTCAATTGTCACCAATTCACAGCATTTTGCCAAAACAGGGGGAAAGGAAGAATGTATCCCATCAATCTACATTTCTTCTAGACTGTCTGGAACAGCTTGCACGGGGGCTTAGCTTGTCCCCTCTGGAGCAGGCGACTGGGTGTCAGGGAGAGGCAGAGGGAGGAGAGAGCAAAGCACCTGCGCCCACAACTCAGCATGAATGGCAGTGGCAGGGGCTTGAAGGGCAGAGCACTGCAGCCAGCCAGACCCTCCCCATCACAGAGTAGCAAAAGAACATTTCATTCATTCTCCCTCTGGCCTCTGCTTCTCTGAGGGAGGGAGGAAAAACAAAGGCATTAAGCATCTGGCATTACTTCTGATGCAAGGAGCATGCAAAAGCATCTCAAAGTTACTTCCTCTCCGGACTCCCAAGAGTTCCTCTCTACTGTTAACCCAGCAGAACTGAAGCATTTTAGTGGGGTCTTTTTTTCTGATAATGTGTTAATGTGTTCTGATGCACTATTTGGGATATTCTTCTAGTCTCAGCTTCCATTATGACACTCAATTTCTGTGGTGTACTAAGCTCCTGGTCCTTAGATATGACTTGCATTTATGAAAAAGCACTATAAATGGCCCGATCCCCTTGTACAAGTTAGCATGATATTTTTCAACCTGTATTAAATTCTCAGATTATTTATGAGTTAAACCAATTACACAATTTCTTTTCAACCACAGTTATTAATACCTCTGTCTGTAATAAGAGCTCACTGGGCTCTAAAACATGCACAGATTGCTCTGGAGGGTAATACCTTCAAATGATTATTCACAGTAGCCCAGATAACATTAAAGAACTTGTCACAATTAAAATTCATAACCTATATTTCCGAATTTCACAACTCAGGTCAAGAACTGCAACCATAATGATCACCAGTGAAATACTGGTGTCCTGACTCACTCCATCCAAATAAGCTACTCTTATAAAAGCACTCCTGTGCTTCAGAAGGGGAGGGTGGCAAGTGAAGGAACTGATAAGAAATAATTACACTAATAACCTGCTAATGAAAAGGTGAATTAATTGAAACATACCGTGAAGTATCCAAGAGTACACAATATAATTCAACAGATGTTTACACTAGAAGGCTGACTATCCAGTGCAGGGATTAAATCAGATTGTGATATTAATGGCACATCCAATGCTAAAGTTGATAATGGATTTTCTGTTGCCTACTGTCAAACTTGAAATAATACTGCACGTAATTTTCACAAGCAAACCATATAAAAGGACCAGGGAAATCAGAAAATGACACAGCCAGAATCACACAGAACAATAACACAGAAAACAGAGTTGATTTTCTCATTGACAGAACTATCATATAAACTGCCTACTACTGTACCTTCATGACATCTTTATAGGAGTGAATGGCCTCAACTTCCTCTTTGTCATCATCATCATCCTCCACTCCTTCATCCAGAGCATCATATCCTTCATCCCTACTCCCATCTGTTTCTGTGGCATTAGTCATGTAGTCAATAAGCTGTTCCAGTGGAGGACTTAATTCCCTCTCTTCATTTTCCTTCAAACCATAGTCCAGGGCTTTATATATAATAATCCCTAGTGATTCAATAACCTGTAAAAACAGAGAAAGAAATATATATTAATGCCATTTACATGAGCGAATGGGTCAAGTGTGGAACAACCTTTTCTGGTGTTTGTATAACAATCCCACCTGCTGAGAAGGCAATAAACATCAAAATCAAAGAGAAAAATGATCTGCTAATATCTAGAGTAGCACTTGAGTAATACAGCACAGAACAAGCAAGAGCAGATCATACCACATACCTACCACTTTCTTATTTCAATATTTGAAATAAAAATTCAACATTTAAAAACCAAGGAGGACCTTTTAAGATTATTTTCCCTTTTTCCTTCTGATATTACAAACCTCAAAGTAACATTACTCTACTTTGTAAGACTATATTGCACGCACATGATCTTTTTTTGTGGGCCAGGTGGGAAGAAATTAAAAAGAAACACTAAACTAACATGAAATGCCTTCCTCCTCCTACAGCTTAATGACACGTGGAAACTGCCTTTCAGTTTGTGTCTCTTCATTGACCTGAGATGTGTCTGGACACAGCTGTGCATGTCCCAGTATTATTCATTGAGCACTGGGACAGCAGCCCACAAGAACTCCTGTGCCTGTTGCACAGCTGTGGAGGTACACATATACCACTGAAACTACCAACAACTGTATTCCATAATGATGAGGTGGTACCTCAATTTTTCATTGAATTGAGGCTTCTTATTTGTGCCCCGTCAAGAGCAAAGCAAACCAATGACCTCTTTCTTACTCAGTGTGAGCTAGGAAAAGATTGTCATGGACATCCTGCAATGCTAAATGCACATTTTCTCTCTTGGCATTAATTATTTTCCTTATGAGAAATACCGAACCTTCTGGAATTTTAAAGATGTAAATAGATGGCATTTCAAACTGAGGAGTTTGAAAATGGGTATTAATGAAGAAGGAAGGGAAAATGGGATTGCAATAGAAAACCACAAGAAGGTAATGTCACTGCTGGAAGATCCTTGTCTGACAACGGAAGTAGGACTGGAGTTATTGCATGTAATCTCTGATCTTCCTTGTGTGGTGGGATAGATATCATGTCACACAAATTAGAAGACTCCAGTGTAGGAGTAGTTGGCACAGCAGCGACTTTAATAACAGGAGCATTTCTAAATATACTAAACCTTGTCATCAAATACCATTTTCTCTAATTTGTCTTTCAGTACGATCCTGGTTGACACACTTTTTACTGCAGAGTTTTGAAATTCTGTTTGGGTAAATAGGACAACACAAAGGAATTCTTAAAACATTAAGTTTTACTCTAGCTGCTTACTTATTTCAGCACAATAAAGTATTTTTGGTCTGAGAGGCTGGAGGCTAGCAAAGACTTAAAATCGTTTCCCATTAGTTTATCTATACGAACAATTTAATGATTGCTGTAGTCTGACAGCTTTACATTTGTGCACCTCATTCCTCTGTTGGGATTACTTTGCAGTGCAAATTCACTTTCCAAGACAGTGGCTAATAAACAAAAAAAAGTAATTTAAAACCCAATATATAAAACACATTCTTTTAAAATTTATTTCAAATAATTTTGGTAACTTGGTTCAATATAAAATTTTGCACATGCTATTCCCTTGAAATGTGTTTATACATATTTATTAAAAAGTGCAGTTAGGGAAAGTGATTAGGCAAATTAGTGAAGAAGAAAAACCTGTATATGTTTTATCAGTTCAAAGAGGAGCTTCTGACTTGGGAAGTGCTACTGAGACAAGAAAGTATGTCAGGAAGGTCTCACTGCTTTCTTGCTCAGTTCTCATACCCTTCCCCTGACTTCTGCCATGACCCACTTTGGAGACGGGACAGCTCTAAAAGATTAATTAATTTAATCTAAAATATTAAATTTATATTTGTAGTATATCTTGCTCACTTCTTAGGGAAGCTGTTTTGTAATAACTGTCTTGTAAAACTTGTACTGTTAAAAAAAGGTATCTGAAAATGTGGAAGTCACACAAAGTAAAATACAATAATTCCAATGGTAGACGTGTTTCCTGTAACTCAGGTTCTGAGTACAATCCCAACATATACCCCCCTTCAGCAGCTGAAAGGGAACAAAGAATACCAGTTTGAAGGAAACTGAAATAAAAATGAAGTATAACTGAAAAATCACTTTGATACTTTGAGCACCTGTGAATAAACACAAAGTAATTTCTAACTTTAATAAAAAGTACATTTGAAAGGGCTTAGCATACATGAAGACTGAAATGTCCATATCAGATGCAAAGAAAATTATGTCTTGTGCCATGCAGTAACGGCTGCTGAACACAGCTTCTGGATTTTGCTACCAAAACTTCAAAAAAATAGAAGAGGGGGTGGATAAAGAAAGTGCACTCTCTCTGCCTTATTCTGTTTGGGAAGAGGATTAAGGCATTCAAAAGCACCATGGCTAAAACTGGATGACAGCTGCTGCTTTCTTTGATGTATCAGCAGTGAGGTTTTGCAGCTCAGTAATATGATTTGTGCGTTTTTATGTACTATGAACAGATTTCATAATACATGCAAAGCTGACACAAGACGAAAGCTTGTAACAGCACCAAGTCAGAGCTGTAGTTCAGTCTCTCAGCTCCTTATTTAGGAGAAGTGATTAAAAACACATTTACTCATTGTCTGTCTGTATCACAGATTCTTCTTGCTGAAAGACAAAGCAGCAAACAACTAAGTAACTTTGCTTTGATTCACATTGAAACTGAAAACGTTCAGTGCCTTTCAGTAGTATCAGTTTACCAAGGATCCTGTAAACCCCACAACTACCATAGAAATATCAAACAAAAGTCACAGAATTGTGAACACCTCTTCCCATGGATAAAACTACTAATGCAACTTCATACAAATAAAATTTTTAGGTCTATATAAATAGAGACAAAATATACAAGTAAACTGATTGCTGCTTCAGCGCATGAGTGCTCTCACTTTGCCTGTAATACAAATCAAATACAAACAAAAAAAAGGAAAGCTATTCACAGCTGAATGGATCAATTGATAAATAAGAGGGGGTTTTGAGTTGGATAATCAGGGAGTGTCACTTTTAAAAAAAAAATTTAAAGCATCAATTATTTACAAAGAAATCACACATTCTAAATTCTACTGTTGGCCAATTTAGCACAAAATAAAAACTTCTGGCACCTAACAAGTGAAAAGTACTGATACAGTTTTCAATTATACATGAAAATAGAGATATATTAAGAAAAACAAGGGTAAGAATGGACCTAGCAAAGCTTTTTTAAACCACAAAGTTGCACACTGACACCCCAAAACAACTCCATAACACTGAAATAAGTGTCATCACTAATACTAAGTAATGCTGCTCAACTCAGGTGAAATCTGAATTGTTCCTGATTGATTTAAATTTCAGCAAAGGACCTGACCTCTGGAAATCAATCAGTAGATAAATTTAAAAAATAAACAATGCAGTCTGCACTATTAAGCTTTACACCTTCTCATCAAGTTATTTTGAAAGTCACGTCTCCAGACCAAAAAAAAAAAATCCAACACACAAACATTTTCCACAGACTGAACTTGTACTTTGCTATGCTGAAATCATTAGTGAAAGGGCAATTTTGTCCTACCGTGAGCATTCCTGCAGTTTCTACGCCAGTCTGGACTCATATTATATGGCGGTTTTAGATTAGATTGTGTTAAAGTAGCTGGAACACTTTGGCTTTAAGAACAATATAAAAACAATATCCACATGCTCCTTTCACACACGTAGCAAAACCAAAACCCAAATTATTCAGATTCTTTTCATATACAAACAAAGCCCAGAACTTTCCATTCTGTATACCTTCCTCCAACACACTAAGGCATGCCTCTTGGACAGGGGTTCATTAGTGTTTTAGGTTTTCATATGAACCAAATTATGCTCCTCCAATGAACTCTGCCAATTTAACATTCTTGAACTCTTCAAATATACAGCCCTTGTACAGGAACCAAAGAGGTTTGATACTTGCAGAAGTGCAATTATTGCAAGTACTTCACTTTGAGAAAAAGCCTTTTCCCCCCCCTCAACATACACATCCCCCTAATTCTTGCTGAAGCGTGGATGAGAACAGGCAGAATCCACATCTCATGGCACACACAATGGGGCACTGTCTGAGCTTTCATCCCCTTCCTAGGCCTGCCTCAATTTTTAAACAAACAAAGCCTAAGGACAGGCTTGCACTTAAAGCAGCAAAGCACTGTGTTTTAGCTCAAATGCTTGTCCCTCCCTAAAGTTCTCCCTTCAAGCAAAAGCCACTCAGCTTTTGTGTCCCTAAACTTGGATTAAAGATGCTGTAAAGCTCCAGCTCCTAAGGTGAGCTGACTAACTCTGAACTTTCCCACAGGGACCCTCAGATATGACCACCAGCCACAATATTTGCATTATTACTGCACTTTCATGAATTCCAATATTTTTTTATTAAAAATGTGCAGTACAATAATTATTTTTAAGCTTCCATATTTTGCCCAGATCTCCAACACACTTAATTAAGGAGAACCATTCTGCCTCATAGTAAGAAGCTGAGAATTCAGGGCTGGCACTCCTTCAGGGAGAGCTCCTCTCCACCACCAACTCTGCCATCACACATGGTATTAGGCAGCACTTAGTCAATCTGTAAAGACCAACCTGTCCTAATGTGCTGACTTTAAATTAGCCTGCCAGGAGCTCCACACGATGCTTTTGACACTGTAACATGTGGTATAAACATAGGCACAGAGATCCTTGAAGTCAAGAGTTTGGTATCTTAAATTTTCTATGCCATGTTAGAAGACAAACACAAGTTTTTGTGCTCAGTTTTCTGTAATATGGTCCAAAGGACTGGCATGTTAAAATGTTATGTAAAACCAACTTGTTCCTCTCTAGCTAGATGACAGAGGGTGAAAGCTTTTGCTCTGGGTCTCATTTCCATTTGTAACAAAATAATTTTTTGTTTCTTCAATTCTGGAACTGAAAAAGATGAGGCTTTTAGGAAAGGTGAGCAAATAAAGGTGTTAGGATATATATTTTTTTGCTTATTTAGCTCATC